TCAATTTACTGGCACTATACCAAGCTCTATTTGTACATTACGACACCTAGTACGTCTGCATCTTTGTCGAAATAAAATCTCAGGGAGTATCCCAGCTTCTCTAGGCAGTGTAACTTCTTTGATCGAACTTTTTTTATTTGTAAATAACTTATAAGGAAGCATCACATCAAGTCTTGGATATTGCTGGAAGTTAATGTTCTTGGATCTTTCTCAAGACAATCTGAGAGGTCCCCATATTGAAAGAAGTATTTGGTATTTAATCCTCATTGATTTATTTTGACCTATCTGAAAACCAGTTGATAGGTTCCCTTCCCATGGAAGTGAATAAGATGGAGCATGTTGGATATCTAAATGTTTCATATAACAGGCTATAAGGTGAAATTCCTGAAAGTCTTGGCAGTTGCACGAGTTCTCTTCACTCCCTCTCTTCTCATTTTTTCTTTCTTTTGCCCAAAAAAATAAACTAACTAACTAATGAGAGTGAACCGGAGAGATAAGAAGAAAGGGAGTGAATCGATCAACCAAGAAGAGAAATTAGGGCTAAATGCTCTGAATTGGGTTTTTTTGTTTTGCTATTTGTATAGCATTTTTTCCAGTTTTTTTTTTTTTTTCAAAAATTCATTTATTCCCATTTGTTAAAAAAAAAAATTAATTACTTGGCATGTGTTACAATCATGGGAACCAAACGGCAAGATTTTATGTCGTTAACCTAAAACATTAACGAAATGATATAATAATGACAAAAACTAAATATTAAAGGATGAAATTAAAAAATAAAATAACTTTTTACAGGCGAAATAAGAGTAATGGAATCCCCGGAAGGCTCCAACCATTAACCCAAACAAAAAGGACAGGTCCTACAAAATGAAAATGTTAGTGACGAGGAATAGAGAGAGACAGAAAATAAATGGCCTGAAAGCCTTGATGGGCTGAAGTGGGTTTTCAGTCCGCATTTGGGCCTTCACGTACCGTGTGCTTTTCAAAGGGCAGAAGAGCTAAACGGAAAATGGTTGGAGGTTGGAGGTTATTTGAGGCCTTGCACCTGCCGGCTGCCTCCGTGTACGATTTTCAGTATTCGATAAAAAATAAAATAAAATAAAATATGATTTATTCTTTTTTTTTAAATTGAAAAGTATTTTGATTTATAATTTTGAAAAAATGAAAAAAAGAGAATATATAGGATTGATTTGGAGTAGTATAAATTATCTCATGTTTTTAAAAAACTATCCATATAAACATAAATGGCAAATTTGGCTAAAAGGATCACCTACTTTAAATAATTTCATATTTAAGTCCCAAATTTTTTATCAGTTTTTGAAATCCCTAAGCTTTTATTATTATTTTTTTTCAAATTTAGGCCATCCTTTAGTTATCTTTCATTTATCTCAAAAAATAATAATCACATAAATAGTTTCATAATATAAATAATTTAGTAAGATTTATTTGAGGTTCTCTGAAAAAATTTGAAATCATTTTGGAGTTATTTTTTTATTTTTTCTGATTTTTTATATTTTTAAAGTTCAAATAAATAAATAAATATATTTTTTAATTTTGCAAAAATTTTGGATTTTTTTCTACAAAATGAATTGAACTTTTTTCAAAATGTGTGCAAATTTTTAACTCAAAATATCAAGAATTAAAATTTTTAAACGAAAAGAGGATAGTTGAAAATTGGATGAATTAAATTTTTAATAATTTAAAAATTTCCAAAACAATAAAAAGTTTCAGAGACTCAGCATCAAATCACTTAAAATTCAAAAATAATTAGATTTTTTAGCCAAATTTTATATATAAATATTGAACTTATGTTTTTTTATGTACACTGTTTCTCTATGTTCTCTTCGATGAGAAATCTCAATTTTAAAACGTAATCATTCTGCTACCTTCCCTAGCTTGATGGAAAACAAAATCATTGTCTTTGGCTTTGAATGGAGTGTATATTTATCATTACCTTTGATTGATTTGTGGTGATCAGAGTTCGTTTTTTTTTTTTTTTTTTACTACATAAATTACAATTTACAATAGATATATGTATTTTTTTTTTCTGAATTAACCACCTATATATAGATTCTTTGTTTTTTTTTTTTTTCAATTAAAAGGTCAAAAGAACCCAAACTTCATAAGGGTCAAAGTGAAAGTATCCCAAACTAAAGGTAGTTAATTAACCTAGCATTTAAAATAAAAATAAAAAATTCATCAATAACTGAAATCTGGTACGATTAAATTCGCCCACCGTGGGGCTCGAACCCACGACCACAAGGTTAAGAGCCTTGCGCTCTACCAACTGAGCTAGACGGGCTGCTTGCACCGATCGATTACCTACATTATATTTAATAGTTTCTATTAATTAATTCGAATTTCACAAAAGAAGGAATCCTCAGGACTCTATCTGTCACCTTTTTCTTCAATTCGAAATCTCACTCTCAAACTGAACCTTTCATAGTGAAAAAGGTTTTATATCAAATAAGTGGTAACAAACATTAATGAGAAAGATGTATTGGTAATTTAAAAAAAAATAAGTGGTGGGAATAATAAATTTGATGGTGAATTTGACAACATCTATTTTTTGAGACAACAAATTTCATTTTCCTTGATTTCTGCAAGAAATTAAATTGATGACAATGTTTTTGGATAATTAGTGGCAATTACCATATCAACTAAGAAAACAAGCTGGAAACGCTCATGCATGTACTTCTAATAGTGTTTGTGAATTTTAATATTACATGGGCCAAGACACAATCACCCAACCACTCTGAACTTGGGAATTTAATTAGCATTGATCTGCAATTAGTTTTTAAGCTTTCATTTAAATAAGCACGTAAATCTGATAGGATTAGAGGCATGGCAATAATTAGTTTGATGTTGCTCCATCCATGAAATTGCATTTGCATTTCATGCCTTCTATGAGCATACAATGACCATTAATTTTTTTATTGCACAGCTACCGAACAAAAAATTTAGCTCATTATCCCAAAAGGATTGGTTTGAATGAAAATTTTTTTGATCATTTAAACAAATTATTTTGATTTTGAATCGTTATATATGTAGATAATTTTTTAAATTGTTATGTCTCGTCTTGTACATCTGATCAAACAACAAGGATTAATATATGTTTTTGAGCTTGAAATATCTTGGAAATCAAAAATAAAAAATAAAAAAACATCCCATTAGCATTTATTATAATTTTACTTGATTTGTATAGCCACTCAATAAAAAGAATATTAAAACCATTGGGTGAAAAGTAGTGTTTCCTCCAGCACAGAGAAGGCAAAAGCATGCAGCTGAAGCAGCTTGAGTACTAGGCTTTTGTTTTTATGTAACAAGAAACAAGACAGCTATTTGCGTTCACATGTCCTCTTTAACTCACATTTATGTGGAATTAGAGCAACTAAAATGAACATGAGTGAAGAGAGCGGTGTATCAGGTTTATTCAATAATTTTTAGTTGAATCCATCGAACTTGTTAGATCAAAATTAAAATCAAGACAAGTATTTATTTCATCAACATATTATCTCGAACAAACTTAGAGACTATAGAGTAATATAACATTTTTGCAAGCAGGGATTGCATCAAAATTAAACTTATATAATTATTTTACAAAATTTAAGCACCAACAAAATGTCAATCACTAGATGAGTTTTTTGTATATTAAATAAAGAAAATTTCATTAATAACTCTCGTAAATTTAATAGTTAATATTTTTTGATAAATAAATTTTATAAAAAAATTATGTAAAAAGAACATTATTCTTAATTTTACAATATTTCAAATTTTTTTTTAATAGTTTTCAAGACTACAAATTAACCTATGTTATGAGCATGCCCAAGATGTAGACTGATTCTTTCCCCTGTAGCACGAGCTAACTTAATGAGTTTTCTCCCCACATCGTTAGTCTGGATTTAATGAAAGTTTATAAAAAAATAATTCTCATATATGCGCTAATTTGATTGTCAATGCTCTACCTAATTAGACTTGATTAGGAAGATAGATATTTAAATTTTAAAATACATAAGCTAGTTTGAGAATAACCGGATCATTAAAAAAGATTAAATTTTCTAGATTTTATGTATCAATCACGTGACCTTATTTATTTATTTATTAAGATGGATATTATGGTTTGTTTGGCTTGGTTGAGCTTATAAATTTACTATTTTTTAAGCACTTTTTGACAAATAGAAGTTGGTAAGAAGCTTAAAAAGCAATTAATGATGTTGTACCGTTGTTTTTAGTGTTTTTCGTTTCTATTACTAAGTTTTGGAATATGTTTATCTCTCTTTTCTTCGTCATATTTTGTACTTTTTTTAGGGTACATTTTTTATCTAGTGCTATGTTTGAGGATGTTTTTTTTCTTTTTTCTTTTTTCTGTGGTAAATCAGGAAACTGAACCGCTTCTTGAGACGATATTTACAAATTTGATCCTAGATTCTCTATTTTTAGAAAATTATCTTTGGAAAATTCTACCTTATTCTGTTTTTTCCTAGATTATTTCTGATCTGCCTCAAATTTGATCCAAACTTGTCTGCATAGTCATGATGAACTATCGTACTGAGTCCGAAAACTGTAAACCAAGCATTTAATTACTTCTTTAGCTGTTTACGATATTTGCTTGGGTGGTTCAACCACTCTAACCTACGAATTTAAGGACGTACTTACAAATTATGAGACAGAAGACTGTATCTGTGGTTGCTCCATCCATGAAATTGCATTTTCATGTCAGGCTTAGGGACACCGAACATAAATGTTCTGGCCCTGTTCTTAAATGAATCCTAGCTACCCATATACAGCCCCTTATCAATTTTTTTATATATAATGTATGATATTTCCGTTACTTGATTAATTTGCATCTCTAATTATAGCAAGTGGAAAATTACTTTTTGTATTAACTCCTTAATAATAATTATTCTCTTGAAAATTAAAGTGCACGCTTCTATTTCTATATAAAGCACCGAATTACTATAGCTACTCCAACCATTTGACATAACAAGAGTCTTGTGATGAAAATGGTGAAGGTAGAAGTTCACATCGTTTCGAGAGAAGTCATCAAACCATCTTCACCTACAGTTGAGCATAAAAAACCCTACAAACTCTCCCTTTTTGATCAGCTCACTCCCATGACTTATTCACCAGTTATTTTCTTCTACCCCATGAACGATGCCAATTCCAATAGTATCACAAAAACAAGAACTGATCACTTAAAGAAATCTCTCACAGAGACCCTTAATATCTTCTACCCTTTATCTGGAAGGGTAAAGGATAACCTTTTCATTGATTCTTTCAATGAAGGTGTCCCATTCCTTGAAGCCCGAGTTAATTGTCGCTTGTCCGATTTCTTCAAACACTACGAAATTGAGTCACTGAATCATTTACTTCCATGCCAGCCCTTTACAAAGGAAGACATGAATGCACCTCTAATAGCAGCTCAAGTTAACATCTTTAATTGTGGAGGAATGGCAGTAGCCGGTGCTGGTTCACACAAGATCGTGGATGGAGCAACAAGCAGAGCTTTCTTCACAACTTGGACTTCTATATCTCGAGGAGATTACAATTCTGTTAAACAACCTGATTTCGAACAGGCATCAATCTTTTTTCCACCAAGAAATTCACTTCCACAAAACCATTTATCACTAATGGAAGGCTTGTGGTTCACTGAAGGAAATTACATTACAAGAAGATTTGTCTTTAGTGGCAAAGCAATAGCCCTGTTAAAGGATATTGCCATAGCTGGCAATCCTGATGCTAACCCAACAAGAATTCAAGCATTGACATGTTTCGTTTTGAAATGTTGTATGGCTGCTTCAAGGGCAATGTCAAGTTCACCAAAACCATCCATTTTAGTTGAAGCAGTCGATCTCCGGTCGCGAACAAAGCCACCCATGTCTGATGCTTCCACTGGGGATGTCATCTGGTGGGCAACTGCACTTGTCAACCCCATGGGCAAAAAGACCGAGTTGCCTGCATTAGTGAATGTGTTGAGCGATGCTACTGCACTGTACGATAGTGATTACACACAAACTCTGCAAGGTGAAGATGGGTTTGAAACATTGTCTGAATACTGTAACCAGCTAGAAGAGTTATTTTCACTTGAAAATCCAGATATTTTTGCATTCACTTGTTGGTCTTATCTTGGTTTCACGAAGACCAACTTTGGATGGGGAGAGCCCTTTTGGGTGGGTCATATGGGAAAAGTTGGCCCTGCTTTCAGAAATATCACCATGTTTATAGAAACCAGAGATGGTAAAGGGATTGAGGCATGGATCACCTTAGATAAAGAAAGAATGACGTTATTGGAACATGATCCTGAATTCCTGGCTTTTGGATCTCCAAATCCCAAGATTTCAAGCCTCTGATGACTTTCCCTCACCTAATCATACCCGTGTGAGTTGTTGTAACAGGTACAATACCATTAGTACCTTTCTTGAGGAACTCGAAACAAAGAATTTGGAGCACCGATCTGATACTTTCTAGAGCTAGGCCATTCTCATATTTGTTTCTTCCCTTTCTTGATTTTGTTTGTGATAAATAATGCTCATACCATCATTAATTAATTCAGCACCATCAGTATTGGCGGAATATTTGTTAATCTATTGTGTAAGCTTTATGATTCCCGTGTTAGCTATAATTATCTTTGAAGCAACAATATTAACTTGGGATTCCAAGTCTAAATACAGGAAATTTTAACAAACTGTTTGCTTGGATTTGAATCTTGCTCTGTCAAGTATGCTGAATGTTCGCCACTAATCTGGTTTGTCAAGTTATCTTTGGTATTTGTAGACAAATTTGTAATTGTTTCGGTATGTTGTTTTCGTTGTATTCTCTTAATAAAGTAATTATTCTTTCAATAAATCTATCAGGGTATCATCTTTTCTTAAGGGAAAAAAATCGTAGTATCATCATTTCTAAGGAAAAAGAAGAAGAAGGTATAATTAATGTAAACAACTATCTTATTTTATACTAAAGAGTTGTATTTTAATTTACATTATTATTTCTCTTTTCTTAAAAATTCTCAAGTTGGATACTAACAGTCCAAAACTTATTGTCTAAAAAAGCTAGAATAATGACAGCTTCACATTAATGATAATGTAATTTACGTCTTTTTTGGGTTAAGTTTAAATAGAGATCAGTTATGCTAAGAAATAATTAATGAATGAAAACAATGGCATGAGTTGTAATTTCATCCAAAATTTCGGTCATATCTTCACATGCTAGTTCATTAAATATTCATTTCATAGGTTTTCGTAAAAATAAAAATAAAACAAGAACAAAACAAAGAAATTAGGTGAGGCATTGAATTCATAGTCTCATCTGTCTCTTCAAATTGTGGGCATTATTCCACCACCATTGTCCATTGGATTTTTTATCCAGGATGGGAAGAGAGAGTTTGATGAGAGTTTCGTTTTTATTTTTCGAGTTCTGGCCGTCCGTTCCGGTGTTAGGCTGCCATTACTATTGCCTTAGCCCCAAGTTGCTTGGGCTTATCTTAAGGAAAAAAAGATTTTTACTTTGTTTTCAAGTTTGTTTGTTCTTTTTATATATTTTTTTATAATATAGCTTAAATAACTTTTTTCCCTGTCATGACCCAATTTAGGATTCCTTAAAAAATAATAAATAATAATAATAATAAAGAAAGAAAAAACTCAAATTAATGGATTGTTGAGAATCGGGAACTAAAATAAATTTAGCTAAAAAACCTTAGAAATTCTCCTATAAAAGGAACATATTCTTTTCATCTTAAGGGGGCAGCTAGAGAGAGCGGAAAAAAACGAACATTGTTCATCTCTCAAAAATTTTTCATTTCCTCACGGAAAAAGGCAAAAAAACACCTTTTTTTTTTCACCTTTCAAACCCTCTCCTCTCCCATAATTTGTCCCACATTGTTGCTAGCGAGGTTGTGCAAAGTTTTCCACCTAAAAACACCACGAAAATATATATATACCGAAAACTGAAATAGAAACAGACCAAACATGTCCTAATCCATTAAACCGGACCCGATTAGCCGTTTACCCAACCGAATGTTTTGCCATCCAATTAACCATTTTCGATCGGCTTTGACCTCGATCAACACCACCCACGTGTAACCCATCACTAGATCCATACCAATTAGAGAGAGAACCAATCATGGAGGATAGAGAAATCAAAGATTAAACCACCACGACCCGACACACAAAAAGATACGGTCGTATCTCCCAATTTCGATCGAATCTCCAAGCTCCACTTCAACGAACTGGTCGACCAACTCCCCGAACATTTCTCCTTTGAAATCTCGTTCGAACGACATTGAGAAACGATCTAATTGAAAGATACTCGTTATTGACCCGTTTTGAAAAACCTAAAAAAATTGATCAATCTAGAAGGAATTAGAGGTCCTAACCACCATATAAATCCTTCTCTCATCCTCACGAGTCGATCGGTGTGCTTGGAATCCCGAGAGGAGGTCGGATTCATCGTTGGTGAAGAACGGAGATTCGATCGGATCTTTGGAGGCTCCGATCTCCATCCTCCAAGCATCGTCTCCAGTTGAAACCACCATCGTTGGATTCGCAGTGATCGTATCTACAAGGCAAGGTGGTCCACGTGCTCGGAGGATCACCGAAAGACGAACGGTCACTTGGCAATGACTCATGGCATTCTAGGGGTATTTTTATAATTTTATAGTGCATGTGCATTTTAGTCATTTCTAATGACTATTCGATTTTATTTCTCCCTATTTTTTATTTTATGTGGTTGTTATAATAATCTTTAGTTTTATGCATGTTAGAAAACCTAGAGATACTTAGGTTGTGAAACTTATGTTAATATATAATTGTGATATGGTGAGAACATGTGATCAATGAGTCTCCTATTTATTAGGGATGGACGATAATTTCAATATGTTGAATTTTTTAGAATTTATTTTAGTTGGTTTTAGTTAGTTAAAATTTTAGAAATTTTTTTATTTCGTAATTATTTTAGATAATTAAAAGATAGTTGAATCGTCGAGTCTCCTAATTTTTAGGGACCGATGACGATTCTTTATCAACAAAAAAATAACAATAAAAAAAATAATAAAATTTCTCAACGAAGTCTCCTATCTAATCGAACTCGTCATTTAAAATAATCCTTGATGAAGTCTCCTATCCGACAAAGACCGACGTTACAAAAATCAATGTTTAATCGAGATGTCCTCCGACACAACGGTTGTGTCAATGCTTATAGTGGATCCGATGTTTGAATTGAGTGTTGTCCGACAAGGAACCGACGATCATTTCAATACGATGCCATGCTCAAATTAAAAAACTTAATTTGACTTTGAAAAAATAGGAGTTTAAAAATAAAAAATGGTTTGACATGGATAAAAGATTTTAGGAGATGAATTTAGAATTAAATTAGACGTGGTATCTTTCTTCGGAAAGGGCATTTTTGGATGATTAAATATCTTTTCAAAGATGTAACCAACTCCTTGCCATAGAATCTCCGAATCGATGCTACTTTTAGGTTCTTAGTTCCTTTATACTAGGTGACGACTCCAAACTCTATAAATAAACTTGTAAATAACTCTATAAATAGAAATCTTAAATTTAATTTTCGAGAGTTCCATCCGATGTTAGATATTGACATTCACTAGCCAATATATATATATATATATATATATATATATATATATATATATATATATGTCCAATTTTCTCTTCCGTAGCAACAGGTAAATTAAGAGATATTTTAAAATAAAAATAATAATAAACAATATTTTTTATGAACTCATTTAAGATGATAAATAAGGAAAAAAACCTATATAAATTCATTAAAAGTAATAAGAATATTTTCAAATAAATTTATTTTTTTTAATTCTATCTTTAATTTTTTTGTTGTACGTATTTCTTTTTCTTATAAAATAAATATTATTAATTATGGTAAGTTTCAGTCTAGATTTAATGCATTGATTATTTCTTGTGTGATCATGATCTGAATCTATTCAGACAAAAAGTTTAATGCATTAATTACTGTATCGCTGTTTATCATGTTTACTTTGGATGCTCGGGCACTCAGTTATTACGAACTCCGAATTTAAGCACTTTCATTTAAGGCACAACGATACATAATAAGCATTAATGTTCGAGACAGTCACCTTAAATGAATCTCAGACCAGCATATAGCACATTAACCCTTGACAGTATGATTTTTAGTATTTTCATTACTATATTAAAAAAATATGACAATAAAAAACTACAAGAATTGATACCGACTATTGGGTCATTATTTTAAAATGAAACTTTTTTGTGAGTTCTATTAACCTAACATGATTTTAAAATGATTTTTTTTTTTTTGAGTTCCATTAACCTAAATATCTGTATTTTTTGTTTATTTATTAATCGATCTCTTATGAAAAGCTTGTGGTTCGCAGAAACTAACTAAATTACAAGAAGATTGTCAGTCTGACGCAGTAGGCATGTTAAGTACGCTTTATGTCTTTCTTTTTCTTTATAAACTTAATTTAATATACAATTCAGTATTTTCTTTTTAGAATATATATATACACCTATCTTTGTCTTTATAAATTTTATTTAAGTATAATTTTTTTTGTTTAAGAATTTATAACGCTGTGTATTTTTAATTGCAAGTAGTGTTAATATCCATTGGTTTGTCCAAATTAATCTCCATGTTTTAATTAATAAAATGTATTTTTTTTAATGATAGACTACAACAATGCATGAGTAATATACTAGTATATATAGCAAATCTCAAGAATTTGGATAAGTTTCAATTATTTTTTTTATTTTAGAATTCTAGAGATTTTTCCTTCATTATGGTGATGCAAGATTGAATAATGTTGTTTTTTATTTAATTTAATTATTTTTTATTAAAACTATTGGAATTAGATTAACATTTGGACAGTTTCTATCTTAAAATGATATTAATTGCGTAATATTTTTTAATTTTATAATAGAAAAAGTTCAGGCATTGAATTCATTGTCTCACGACTCTCATCTCTCTCCAAACTCTCTCCAAAGTATGACGAGGGTTACTGTTTTTCCATTTTAAATTCGGAACATTCGTTCCGGTGTTGGGCTGATACAACTATTGCCTTGGGCCAGCGTTGTTTGAGCTTATCTTGGAAAAAGGTGTTCTTCTCCCCCCCCCCCCCCCCCCCCCAATAACTTTTTTTTAAAAAAAATTTTCCCTTAGTCTCTCTCTCTCTCTCTGTATATATTCTGATCCATTTTCTCTTCTATATCATGCCCGTCTAGATTTTATGCATTGATTGATCATGTGATTTTTCTATTGAGGAAGTTCGGTCTCTTTATGCATACAAAATGGCACCAAAATTTTCAAGAAATTCAAAAGCTAAAAATCAATTCTATTATTATATGTATTATTGATCATCAATAAATTTCGTTTTAGACCCAATTAATGTGGAGAAAATTGATCCTGACCTCTTGAGACAACCAGTCAGTTTGATCCTACTTCTGTTTAGATTTTTATTAGAAAAATGGGCACCCAAATGATTAAGCATAAATCTAACAACTCATCACTTCATAAAAGAAAAAATGGAAGAACTTAAATGTAAAACCTCAGAATAAATTCCTCAGCCCAAAATTTTGCAGATAATCATGATAATTATTTATGGTAGTGAGTTAGAAAACTATATAACATCATGCATTAAATACTTATGTTACTGTTTTATGATCTGTACTTGGGCCTCTCAACTACCACAAACTCCGAATTTAAGCATTTCTTTGCTAATAATTTGACCCTCTAGAATTTCCATCCTTGAAATTGCACTTGAATATAATCAGCTAGCATTACTATATAATTTTTAATATTTTCATTACTTGATTTGTATTTATGAAACAACTACCTGATTGAAAACTTAAATTAATGTTAGACGAGAATTTCAGGTTAAATAAAATGTTAGGCGAATTTTTTTGAAATTTAGGTTATTATAATCAGCCTTTCATGAACAATATTAAGAAATTATAATTCATTAACACAACGTTAGAAAGTTATTCGAAAACATTGGAGTTGTGCGCAAGAATGATTACACATGCATAACTATGGACGTCAATTCAATCTAAAAACTTAAATTATTGTATTATATATCTATCTTGTTTTATTATAAACATTTTATTTTATTTATTTATTTTGCACTACTAACAGATGTAAAATATTATAAATCACATGTTCACTAATAAACCACGACATTTTCTCTATCACGGAAGAGGCGGGTTGCCAACTTGCCATGAATGAATTTATTAATTATATCAATCACCAATAATCTATTTATGAAAATTAAATAAACTGTTTGTGTTGATTGATTGCAACTAGATTCTTTTATAATACTCAATGAATAACTAGTGGTATATACATTAATTATTTTATATACACTTGGAGAAAAAGATAGATACATAAAATTACATATGAATTCATAAAAAAACGATAAGAAGATTTCCACGTTAGCTTAATTTTTTTTAATTTTCTCTCCTCTATTTTTTTTTTTTTTTTGTATCTATCTTTCTCCTCTAAATAGATCCATAAAGTAACTACTCGTATATGTCGTTACCACTCTTTGAGTATTATAAAATTTCTCATTAATAATTAGTAAGTTTTATCTACATGAATAATGGTTATTTAAAGATTTTTCTAGACAAGCCTAAAGGATCGGTATGTTAATTAAGAAATTTTACTTTATTTTTTCACTTTTAGAGTTCAAATTTTAGGATTGTCATCCAGAAAAATTTATTAAATTATTATCAATACATCAAACTATCCTATAAGATGTACGTACACTTAAGTTCGTCTGGAGAAATACTTAATTTTGTACTAATATGTTAGTTATTCTAAAAATAATATTTAATTTATTACGGTTAATGTGTAAATTAATTTAAAAATATCGTTACCGTGAACAATTAATTATGCACCTTTGTAATCTCTATATAAAGAACCGCGTAGTTCTACCAATCTCAACAAATAAGTGCCCAAACACCTGAATTCAATTTTAGCAAAACAAATCTGGCGAAATGGTGAAGATAGAGGTTCACATCGTTTCAAGAGAAGTCATCAAACCATCTTCACCAATAGTTCAGCATCAAAAACCTTACAAACTCTCCCTTTTAGACCAGCTCACTCCCACAACCTATTCACCAATTATTTTCTTCTATCCCATGATAGATGTTTATAAAGTTAGATAATTGAGGTTGGGTTCTATCCAAAAGACTTTAAGTCTTATGATAGGTGGCATCTTCTCAACTTTATATATTATTTATTATTGATTTAACTATTCAATGTGGGATATGTTCTAACACTCCCCTCACTTGCAACCCATCTTTTGAGGTCCGTCAAGTGATTTGGGCTCTAGGATATTTGTTTGGGTCATTAAACCTCTTTGAGGCTCGATACCATATAAAGTTAGATAATTGAGATTGAATTCTATCCAAAAGACTTTAAGGCTTATGATAGGTGACCCATTCTAAACTTTATAGATTATTTATTATTGATAATGTCAATTCCGATAGTATCACAAAAACAAGAACTGATCCCTTAAAGAAGTCTCTCACAGAGACCCTTAATATCTACTACCCATTATCTGGCAGGGTAAAGGATAACCTTTTCATTGATTCTTTCAACGAAGGTGTTCCATTCTTCCAAGCCCTAGTCAGTTCTTGCTTGTTCCATTTCCTTAAACACTTCGAGATTGAGTCATTGAACCATTTCCTTCCCTTCCAGCCCTATACCAAGGATGACATGAATGCACCTTTAATAGCAATTCAAATAAACAGTTTACTTGCGGAGGAATAACACTAGGTTTTACTGCTTCACACAAGCTCGTGGATGCGACAACATGCAAGGCTTTCTTTAGAACTTGGTCTTTTATATCTCGTTGAGATTACGAGAAACAACCTGATTTCGAACAGGCATCGCTCTTTTTTCCAACATCAAATTCACTTCCACGAAACCATATATCACTAATGGAAAGCTTGTGGTTCACAGAAGGAAATTACATTACAAGAAGATTTGTCTTTAATGGCAAAGAACTAGCCATGTTAAAGGATATTGCCAAAGCTGGCAATCCTGATGCTAACCCAGCAAGAATTCAAGCATTGACATGTTTCGTTTTGAAATGTTGTATGGCTGCTTCAAGGGCAATATCAGGTTCCCCAAAACCATCCATTTCAGTTGAAACAGTCGATCTTCGGTCGCGAACAAAGCCACCCATATCCGATGCTTCCACTGGGGATATCTCTTGGTGGGCAACCGCAGTTGTCGAACCCATGGGCAGAAAAACAGAGTTGCCTGAATTAGTGAACATATTGAGGGAAGCTACTGCTCTGTACGAGAGTGATTACACACAGACTCTACAAAGTGAAGAAGGGTTTGTAACCATGTCAGAATACTGTAACCAGCTAGAAGAGTTATTTTCTCTTGAAAAACCAGATATATTTCCATTTACTACTTGGTGTCATTCTGGTTTCACTAAGACCAACTTTGGATGGGGAGAACCCATTTGGGTTGGTCACATGGGGAAGGTCGGCCCTGCTTCCAGAAATCTCACTATGTTTATTGAAACCAAAGATGGTAAAGGAATTGAGGCATGGGTCACCTTAGACAAGGAAAGAATGGCTATCCTGGAACGTGATCCTGAATTCTTGGCTTTTGCATCTCCAAATCCCAAGATTTCAAGCCTCTGATGACTTCTCCTTTCAAAATAATTTCTTTGCTATATTAATTAATTATTATAATTAGTTCGTTTGACTATTATAAAATTTCTACTACTACATTGATATTAATTGTCAACCACAGTACTGGCTTGTTAATTAAGTTGAATTTGATGCTTGAAAATAATTTTTGTTGTTAATTTCCCTCTGTATGCTCACTGTATTAGATATCTTCTCTCTTCTTTTATTAAGGAACAAAAAAAAAATTTAATATTGATAAATGACATTTCTGAGATAAAGTTGAAAAACGTGGCTAGTATATATCATTACGAAATTAAGGGAAATTGATATCATTTATGTATAAATTAATATTTAGAATAAATTTTATGAGCAATTGATTTTTTTATTATTATTATTAAGGTTGAAATTGAAGCCCTTTTAGATTACGTAAATTTCAATTTCTCCAACGAGATTTAGGTTATATTTCTCAACAAAAATCTTAAATATATATTTTTTAATAACCATCTGATTTTTCTAAGATATTTCAATTAACAGTTTGCATATAGCGTTAAAGAAAGTTAAATTAGAGAAATATATGTTTTTTTATCAATAAGCTTTTACTAACATTAAATGCATGCTAATTAAAAAATAATATAAATTATATATTTAAGTTTTACTTAAAAATTTAAATTTGTAGGTTGAAATAATTTTTTTGATATAATATCAAAGTAATAATCCATATATCTATACAAATTTGAAGATCAACAAGTTTTTATTTGAAAAATATTAGAAAATAATATGAATTCTATACACCGAGGTTTCACCTCTAAATTTTAAATTTTTGAATTGAAATAATATTTTAACATAGAGATCAGTCCTGCGACCTGTTATTAAATTCCAAGTTAGTTACCATGTATTTACTTCTGATTGTTGTTTATTTATGTTATTTCACTTGGAGCATAGGATCCCTACAATTCGCTATTCAGCTACCAGAAAGGAGGATTTAAACTTGAAGCACTAGGCCTTGCTATTTTCATCATTCAAAAACTAGATTTATTGATTTCCTCTTACTTGAAATTGAGTTTCTTGTCTGGCACAGTTGCGTAGATGAGCAATTCAACATTAATATTTATAGTTGCGATCTTAAATGTGCCACCTAACTAGCCATATTTACCCCCATATATTAGCATTGACTATAATTTATTTTTAGTAATATTTACATATATACTTGTACTATCGCTGGAGATGTGTGGCCTCTTCCACTCATAGGAGTAGATATTATGTTTTTTTATTTATTTACAAATTATGAATATTTTTAAATCAGTTTTCATATTAATCAAAAATAAATCTATTGATTTTGGACTAAATCAATATTAGAACATATTGAAAAGAATTTTGACAAAGGAATATTAAAATTAAAACCGTTAGATTACTATAAAAGGGCATTTGGTAATTGGCATGGGATGAATCAAAATTTACTAAACCGTTATATAACTACTTAGGTACATAAATTTAAATTTAATAAGACTACATGCAGCCCTAAATCAATGTATATTGACCAATGAACCGGGAGTTATAAATAGTTTAATGGTCATACAAATTACAAAATATATATTAATATTATAAATAATCATCAATGTTCACTAATCTATCAAGTAACCCTTACTAACAAACTTATGGAGTTAGTACAAATATTAATTAATGACTTTGGTATATATTATATAAAAGTGATGGATTCTAACATATAACGTAACTAATTCATTATTTATACCTAAATATTTTTCCAAATGCATCTCTTATTATTCTTATTCTTATCATTTTTTTTTACCAAATTAAGCATTGGAATGTCTCTCTTCATAAGTTGGGGACTTCTGAGTCTGTTTTGCTATATCAAGCCTAGCTAATTCAGTCATCAAATCTACCAAGTACAACAAGATTTGTTACATCAACTATTTTTGTTCACGAGTTTCATCTTATCAACCTATTTTTGACATCAACAATAATATTGTTCCTCTTGAAATTTCTCTACCAAGAATCATGAATTCCTTAAAAACGTATGTTTTTTTTCCTAGTCAAACATTTTTTAATTGCCCTAAAAACCAAAAAAGTATTTCTATTAAATATATGACTGTAATATAATATTATTTACAAAACTTCATTCAGTAATTTAAGATTTTGAGTTAAAATGATTTTGATATTAGAGTTTTATTGATTAAAAGATCATGAATTTTATTTTTATTTATTTTTAATAATTAAGCACAAGGTAATAGTAGCATTTTAAAAATCTCACTCAATAAATTAAAATTTTAAGTTGAAAAGGTTTTTTAACACTAACTAGAAACACTGACTTAATTAAACTTAATAATTGTACTTAGTGAACCAATTTACTTTTATCTTTACCAATAATTGCACAGTGGTTTTAGTAACTTTAGAAAATGATTAATATAATCGTGTTACGTAATTTATTTTTAGATGTATTGGTTTATTTGGCAGTTACAATTTTATTATTTTAGGACTAAGTATTTATAAATTTGGTAGAAACTTTGTTGTAATTGTGGTATGATATACTCTATCTGTGAAGGATTGTTCAATTATATAAATTAAAAATTAGATCCATATCAATTATATTTAGTTTTCCTATACATGTTTGAAGCCATATTATGAAATCAATATACTTTAAGCTTTAGTGATATGATGATAATTATCTTGTTTAAATTACATGTGAATTTCCAAAAATGAATTATAGATTATAAAAGATATATTATTAGAAATTTTTATTTTTAAACTAACATAAATAACCACATCCTCAAGGACAATTTTTTTAAAAATCACATTCCATCTCAAAAATCCTTAGCCGGTGAAACTGACAGAATCGGTCGGTAGACTAATATTGAATTACGACGTTGAAGTACGTCATTATTATTTATTTTTATTTTTTTGAAAAAAAGGTACATGGTATCATTAACATGGTAGCATTTCATAAAAAAGCTTGTGGACCGTTCCGGTATTTGCCTCTTGGGTTTGCTTGCGTCTGGGAAGAACTAGTGGCTAATGCAAAAGCAGTCTATATAACCAGCTCTAACTATGTAAAGAAACAATGCTTCTGCCTTAGTCCATAAGCACTCAAAAACAGAGAACTTCAATTTTGGCATAGCAAGAGTCTTGTGAAAATGGTGAAGATAGAAGTCCGCATCATCTCGAAAGAACTCATCAAACCATCTTCCCCAACAATTCAGCAAAAGAAACCCTTCAAACTCTCCCTTTTTGATCAGCTTACTCCCCCAACTTATACCACAGCTGTCTTCTTCTACCCCGCGAACGATGCCAATTCCAACAATGCCACCAGAATTGATCACTTAAAGAAATCTCTCTCAAAGACACTTAATCTCTACTACCCATTATCTGGAAGGGTGGAAGATAATCTCTTCATTGATTGTTTCAGTGAAGGTGTTCCCTTGCTTGAAGCCCAAGTTAATTGTCGCTTGTCCGATTTCCTTAAACACCACGAAGTTGAGTCACTGAACCATTTTCTTCCATGCCAGCCCTTTACAACGGAAGAAATGACTGCGCCTCTATTAGCATTTCAGGTGAGCATATTTGCCTGTGGAGGAATAGCACTAGGCTGGGGTGTTTTACACAAGCTTGTTGATGGGGGAACGATGAAGGCTTTCATTTCCACTTGGACATCTGTATCTCGAGGAGATCATACTGAGGTTATACAGCCCGATTTCACAGAGGCATCAATCTTCTTTCCACCCAGAAATTCACATCCACAAAATAATTTATCTCTAATGGAAAGCGTTTGGTTTACAGAAGCTAACTACATTACAAGAAGATTTGCCTTTTGCAGCGATGCAATAGCCATGTTAAGGGATAAGGCTAAATTTGGAAAACCTGATACTAGGCCATCAAGAGTTGAAACATTGTCATGCTTCATTTGGAAATGTGTTATGGCTGCTTCAAAGGCACTATCAGGTTCACCAAAGCCATGCATTTTGGTTGAAGCAGTGAATCTCCGGCCGCGAACAAAGCCGCCCATGTCCGATGGTTCTATTGGAAATATCTTTTGGTGGGCAACTGCTGTCGCGAACCCCACAGACACAAACACAGAACTGCACGAATTGGTAAACATGTTGAATGAAGCCACTGCACTGTACGATAGTGATTACACACAGACTCTACAAGGAGAAGAAGGGTTTGAAACAATGTCTGAATACTTCAGCCAGCTAGAAGGGTTATTTTCTCTTGAAAAGCCAGATATATTTGCATTCACTTCTTGGTGTCATCTTGGTTTCACTAAGGCAAACTTTGGATGGGGAGAGCCCTTCTGGGTTGGTCTGATGGGAAAAGTTGGCCCTGCTTTCAGAAATCTCACTGTACTTATTGAAACCAAAGATGGTAAAGGGATAGAGGCATGGATCACCTTAGATGAGGAACGAATGACTATATTGGAACGAGATCCTGAATTCCTGGCATTTGCTTCTCCAAATCCTAAGTTTTCAAGCCTGTGATGTCTTTTCCCTTCAATATCCTATCAGGGTTAGTCCTAGGTATAATAATTACTATTTTTGTGAGAAGTTTGCTAGCTTGGAGCTAGACAAATTAATGATTCTCTAGAACTAGTTAGATTAATTAACTATATATCTATGCATTCTGCTGGTTAATTTCGCTTCCCTCTTCTCTTTCTGGTTATTTGCAGCATGGCAATGATTCTAGATCCTCAGCTGCAACAATATTTTGTCAATCTATTTAGTAAACTTCTAAATTATGTTTTCTACCTCTTTAAAAGATATTGTTGCCATTTGTGTGCAAGGAAATCGTTCATGCGTTATCTAACTAAAGAAATCTCCCATATTTGAGCACTAACTCTCAACTCAATTATAACAATTTGTCATGTATATAGCATTATATATAAAAAATAATTAGTATATTAATAGCATAACTGACTATAAAACAACAATATATATCTGTGTCAGAGGTACATTTACTTAATTCAAGGATTTTTTTTTCTTTATAATTAAAGTGAACTACCAACTTATTTTTAAATTAAATAGATATATTTTAAGTTAATAATTAATCACACCTATCTACTCTTTGATTTGGATCCTTCTATAAACATTGTCGACATTATCATTTTAATAATCTCTATATTAAAGCATCTTGTGTACTTAGTCAGCTAGCTAGTTAACATACCGCAAATTACTGAGCAAGGATCAAATCCTCAAGAATGTAATAGAGCTTTTAATTAGAAATCATGAAACTATGGAAGAAGTTATCAAAAGGGAGAAGTTGATATTATTTTACTTGGTGCAAACTTGCCGCTTTCTCCAGATCAATACGTAACCAGAAGGAATTAATTCAAGAAGTTTGGATCCAATTAGGTACAAGGAAATTTATGAAGCATAAATAATGAGAGTCTTGTTTGGCGATTGATTCTAGAGCCAATAGATTCTTGGCTCAGGAAGTCAGAAGCCATTAATTTAGAAAACTGGGAATCAAGGTCGTGCATTTACGTAAAAATAGGGAAAGATAGCACATACTTTTGACCGATTCTATCGATTCTCCGTACGTAGTTGCAGTTGCTGACTTGGAAGTGTCGGAAGTGCTTGTGCTTGTGCATACAGATGCATGTGCTAAAGAACTTGAGATTTGGATTTTTTTTCTTTTTTTTTCCCTTTAATGTCTTGTAAGGTGCATTTTCTGTGAAACAATAAAGTGCGCTTACTTAATAATTTTTAGAGATTGAAAATTTCGATTTTTTTGAGTGTGTTAACTTATTTGATTTTCATCATTGAGTATTTTATTTTTAATTTTATTCAAATAGGTATCCATTTTTTTTTTGTACTTAAGTTAATGTATATTAGTCAAATTGTTGATGTGTACGTCAAGTAATGGCATAGACACTAACAAAAAAGATAACATTTAGGGTTGATGCCATTAATAAGAGGAAAAAATTCCCTTCAAATTCTAATAGAATTTTAGAAAATAATTATTATTAAATACAATAAATATCTAATTTTTAGTTAGATTTTGGATGAAATTTTTCTTCTCGACATAGTATCTCATTAATGATGTCATTCCTAAATGTTACCTAGGAGTTAGTACTCATGTCATTACTTAACATCCATATTAGTATTTCAGTATCACGCATTTATTTAGACATTCTGTTTTGTGAAATAAAAGAAAAATCAAACACTTATTTGAATAAAAATAAAAATCAGATACTTAATCATGAAAACAAATAACTTCAAGCATTTAAAATCACGTTATTCCAGAAAAAAAAAAAAAAAAAGAACTTGTCATCCCTGATAAATAGGTATCGCAGGGTAGCTATGAAAACGTTAATGTTAATGGTCGTCGCATTGAATTTTGAGACACGTACCGTACCTACCTAACTATATCGAGTATATTTCCCCTTTGGAGTAGCCCTACCTACAGATTATAAATGACTTCTCAGATTTCCAACGGCCCCATCTGTCATATTTAAAGCTCATCGATCAGTTCATCAAAATGATCCAATGGTTCATCGAGATCTAATGTGCAAATATCATATTTCTTAAGTCTTATTTGAATTTTTATACATTTTAATAAATTTATTAATTATACTATCATATCAATATTTTTTTTAATAATATTTTTTTAAAAATATTCTTTTTTTTTTTAAGAGAAAATCTAGCTATCCAATTTGACTAGAAACACAAGTTCTGAAAATGTGAGGATGCAATATTTTGACTTGAATAAACATGTTAACTTCACTAAGGGAACCGATATACTTTTGTTTTTACAATATAATTTTAGTTTAGTAGCAAAATGACTAATATAATCATGTTATATAATTTATTTTTAGATACATTATTTTATTTGGCAGCTATAATTTTATTATTTTATGAACAAATATTTATAAATTTAATATAAATTTCGTTGTAATCGTGGGATTATATACTTTATATGTGAATATTGATTGTTCAATTAAATTAAAAATTAGATCCATATCAATTATATTTGGTTTTTGTACAAATGTTTCGAAAACAGTAACTATATTACGAAATTAAGATACTTTAAGTTTTAGCCATATGATAATAATGATTTTGTTTGAATTACATATGAATTTCCAAGAATGAATTATACATGATAAAAGATACATTATTAAAAATTTTCATTTTTAACTTCCCGTAAACAATCACATCCTCAATGACTATTTTTAGAAAATCACATTTTGATGAGGTTGTTATTCCTCAAATTGTTTGAATAATCAGATGCTCTTTTTCTTTGATTGATTGTAGGGTAGAGATTTGTCTTTATCTTAGAGTTGTATGACAAGTACGTGAAAGATAAAGTCTTCATCTTCCGTTTTAGACGACTCTTCGATTGTTAAGTTAGTTTAAAGAGATAGGTGATCGACCTGATTAGCCTTAATGGTATATATTTTATCATGTTTGGCCTAATTAAACTTAACATTATATGTTTTGCTATATTTATAAAAATATATATAATATTTATATGTGTGAAAAGCGTAGATGTTATAACCTCACCTCTTACATATATGAGGCGAACCTTTATGTAGTGGCCTCTCTCACCAGCTATATTTATAGAAAATATTTATTATTGTTGTTTATTTCTATTATTTCACTTGGAGCATCGGATCCCTACCATTCACTATTCAGCTGCCAGCAATTAGCATTTATAACTGAAGCACTAGGCCTTGCTATTTTCATAATTCAAAAACTAGATTTATTGATTTCCTCTTACTTGAAATTTGATTTCTTGTCTGGTACTGTTGCGTAGATGAGCAATATAGCATTAATATTTATAGTTGCGATCTTAAATGTGCTACCTAACTAGCCATATTTACCCCCATATATTAGCATTGATTATAATTTATTTTTAGTGATATTTACATATATAGTTGTTGTACTATCGCTCGAGATGTGTGGCCTCTCTCACCCAAAGAGTAGGTTTTTTTTATTTATTTATTTACAGATTATGATATTTTTAGATTAGTTTTCATATTAAAGAAATTTTGACGAAGAAATATTAACATTAAAACCGTTAGATTACTATAATAGGGCATTTGGTAATTGGCATGCAATGAATCAAAATTTACTAAAGAACTATATATAACTATAAATTTAAATTTAATAAGACTACAAGTAGGCCTAACTCAATGTATATTGACCAATGAACCAAGAGTTATAAATAGTTTAGTGGTCATACAAATTACAAAATATATATTAATATTATAAATAATCATCAATGTTCACTAATCTACCAAGTAACCCTTAATAACCCAATAACTTAAGGAGTTAGTACAGATATTAATTAATGACTTTGGTATTATATAAAAATGATGGATTCGCACATATAGCGTAACTAATTCATTATTTATACCTAAATATTTTCCAAACGCATCTCTTATTATTCTTATTATTTATTATTATTATTATTTTACTAACTTAAGCATTGGAATGTCTCTCTTCAGAAGTTGGGGACATCTGAATCTGTTTTGCCGGTTTACGTCATTCCTATATCAAGCCTAGCTAATTCAGTCATCAAATCTACCAAGTCCAACATGATTTGTCATATCAACTATTTTTGTTCACGTGTTTCATCTCATCAACCTATTTTTGACATCAAAAATATTGTTCCTCTTGAAATTTCTCTACCAAGAATCATGAATTCCTTAAAAGCCTACGCTTTTTTTTCCAGCGAAACATCTTTTAGTTGCCCTAAAAAAGAAAAAAATAATTATGTTAAATACACGATTGCAATAGAATAATCTAAAATTATTTATAAGACTTTATTCAATAATTTAAGATTTTGAATTAAAATAATTTTGGTATTAGAGTTTTATTGATTAAATGATAATAAATTCGAATTTTATTATTTTTTTTAATAATTAAGTACAAGATAATGTGAGCATTTTTAAAATCTCACTCATTAAATTAAAATTTGAAGTTGAAAAAGTTTTTAAACACCGACTAGAAACACAAGTCGAGAAAAAGATAGGATACAATATTTTGACTTAATTAAACTTAATAATTGCACTAAGTGAATCAATTTACTTTTATCTTTACCAATAATTGCACAGTGGTTGTTTTAGTGATTTTTTTTGTTGCGAAGGTACTTTTAGTAACTTTAGAAAATGATTAATATAATCGTGTTACTTATTTAGATGTATTAGTTTATTTGGCAGTTATAATTTTATTATTTTAGGAATAGGTATTTATAAATTTGGTAGAAACTTAGTTGTAATTATGTTATGATATACTCTACATGTGAAGGATTGTTCAATTAAATTAAAAATTAGATCCATATCAATTATATTGGGTTTTCCTATAAAAATTTGAAAAACAATAACTATATTATAAAATCAATATAGTTTCAGCTTTAGCGATATAGATGATGATAATTATCTTGTTTAAATTACATATGAGTTTCCAAAAATAAATTATTGATAATAAAAGATATATTATTAGCAATTTTTATTTTTAAATTAACATAAATAACCACA